AGCACCAAACCTTTGGAGTGTTTTTGAAAATAAGGTTTTTAAAACCTAATTAACCTCATATAGTATTGCCAGCTATCGGTCGGTAATTCACTTAATTGTCTGAATAGAAACCTTCCAAAAACCTTACACATTTCCACCAAAATTTATCGCAGTCATCAGATAAATGAATACACTGCAGTACACAACTCAACCATCTTTAATCTGTGAGGAGGGTTAAAATGTTGTTAACAGTCTTGATTGTATGCGTGAAGTTACATGTGAATAAAAAGTGTTACTTAGTTAATCTGTCTTTAGTCACATATAGTTGGAGCTTCGATATTAGCACCTCGTAGCTTGCTGCTTAATAGATACATCTTTTTCAAATAAAACGTCGAAACCTCTTAAATGACTCGTCATATATGAAAGTGATTCTGCACTATTTTTGTGTAAAGTTCCAGGGTTCTGTTGGAAGTGGAATCCGGATTCGGAATTGTGTAATGCGTTACTGGGGTAGAATGAGCAAACAATTTTTGTGAATAAAATGCGAAACCATTGTTCCAAGGTTTCATTTTCTTTCAGACACTTCCCCAAGAGTTTGGACTGAAATTTTCCTTAGGACGTCACACTACAAGTTAATGAGGACATCCTCAAGCACACTGTCCGGAAATTTGCAGAATGTGGAGTTCCAGTTCGTATCTACCAATAGCTAGAGGCCGCTTGAAAAGATTCCAGTCACCATCTGTGAAACCCAGTTAATAACTCTTCTTGTATGTCCTAGATAATAAGTGGCTTGCATTCAGATTGATACTCATGAATTCTAGTTAAAAAATAATTTCTAAGACCTACTGTTTTTCTAAAATACTGATTTGAAATGTGGAAATGCATGTGAAAATTTACTATAAATATTTCCCAAACAACAAAAATAATGACAATTTCTTGTCTATTGAGGTGCTTAATCTGGCGAATAAAAGTCTGTGGCTATCCCTCATCAATTTGTCTAAGCCATGTAACAAGTTTGAATAGCAAATAAGTTTATTAAATTTGGAAATTTGTGTTGCCTCTATAAGCGCCGTGTTTAACATTTGCGTTACAATAGTGGTACTTATGTTTGTAATTTTCTTTTTATGGTGTCCTTTCATTAAGAATCCACTAAAACTCATGAGGCTTATGCTTTTTAATTCTCATGCTTTTAAATTATTCACAAATTAGATGTCAGGTTGGTGCCTGTTTGCCAAAACGACGCCTTGTGCAAGCTGCAACATATTACAATTGATTAAGTAAATTAAGAAAATGGTGACAAACTATCCTTAAGCTTATGTTATGGAGTCTGTAATGCCGTATACCATCTGATATAAGTTGGTTGGGATAGATTTGCATGCGAAGTGCAGAGTGATTTATTCTTATCAGTGACACTACAAATTTTGTTGTCACTAGGCTTGAAGAATTACATATAAGGCTGAAAGTGATTCGATTTCTATGAGAGTGAAGTGTGAATTCGGACTAATTCTTTATGGGGAAATTTTCTCATGATTTTTATTTCATTTTTTATTTCACCCTATTTTCGGGGTGAGCAGTAAGGCCTGGTCGGGACATGTCAGGAGAGTTCCAGAACCACGAAGAAGTAATATTGCTGCGGAGTGCTGGTTCTCACACCGAGTCATATAATCTTGGAACCGACTTCCAGAAGAAGTGATATCTGCAACCTTAACTGATTCATTCAAGAAAGGTTTAGACAACCACAGAAATTTACTAGAAAAGGATTAACATATGCTCCAAGGCTTCTATCCTCAGCCAATAAATCTGAATTGCACAAATATTGTTGGTTGTAGGATTACATCGTGTAATTAATCATTTAACGAGAACAACAATCCACATGTCTGTCGTTTAGTATTAGGTTTCAATTTCATTCATGTAACCGACCGAACTCAAATAATGAAAACCCGTATTGTTTTCCTTTACAATTCATTAATCTTGTTCACTTTCAATCATGAGAAAACCGTTAACTCCTCTGACTTTTACTACCGGATTTTGTGTCAGGCAACCGTATGATAATCTTTTGATCTTACCTATTAGTTCTTCCCCCCTATAATCTAAATAGGTCTATTATGCACTAATAACTGGAAAAAGTTAAACTGTCATAACCAAACTAAAGTCACGTTGAGCAACCGATCAGGATTCAGATGCTAAAAACCGTCAAAATCGTTTTAAAAAATGCATTAAAAACGTCAAAAAATGTTATCAAGCCGGATAACGGTCTCTAGTATATTGATAAAACGTCTTCCAGTTTCTCCAAAGATGATTATCAGAGAAACATACCATACCTGATACACGTATTCATTGGTGTGGCTAAAAACCATGTTATTGTGCGATCCATTGACATTCCTGATTCTTTCCTTCAATCTCCCCAGAATCCTTCGATAGGGTTAGTATGCGTGCCTGTGACTGGATCCACGAGGTCGGAAGAATGGTTAGTACGATAATGAATATGACCCAAAGATGAGAGTTGGTTATATCCCCTCTAATCATCAGTATGCATAGCAATACCAAACGATGAATGATTGGAATTAATGTTGCAGCACTTCTTTTTCGTATTGCTCCAACTAATCCTTTGCGAAGTCAAGTATCATAGATTCCGATTTATCCTTCGGGGTCAACCTTGAAAGGCCTTGGCTGTGGCTATGATACTTCAACTTCGCCAGTAACGGTTATCAATCGCTAATTGATCCTACGGTTGCCTACGCCATCTAGGTTTCTATATTCTGTCATCTCTAGACATTTTTCCCAGTCAGTTTCACCTTTGACGTTTTCATTTAATTAACAGTTATTCCATGTGGTAAACATTTCAAGTTACTCACAACTTTTTCTCGTGAAATTTGATTTTTCAGCTCGTTATGTACTCTTGTTTCTGGTAATAAATCAAAAATAAATGGATGGAACTAAAACAGTAAGGCGTAGAGCAAACGATCATGAATTCAATGAAAACAGTCAGTTCAAACGAAAGGTGTGTTCATGTTGATATTCCTCATCTTAGGAGATTCGTATACTTATTTCTTTTTTCTTTGTTAATATTGCTTAATTTCCCTAGGCATGATTATAATTTGGGTGTTTTTCCACTTTAAAATGCCAGCTTATTATGAAGTCTAAAAATGTCTAGTTAACTGTTTTTATCACAGTATTGTCTGATATTTATATTGTTCACTAATTTCCAATTGTACCTTTTCTACTTAACTTGCTTAAGGTTTGCACAGTTACAGAGGGAAAAATCCCCTTTTTAACCCCAGCTTCATGTATTTGATTACTAGCGTATTCACAAGTCTGTTTAAATGTGCATTAAATAAACAATAATTCGTGGAGCCCTATCGATTATTGTGGTCAGAACACGTGTTGTACTCTGTCCTTTACTATCTAAACTCACTTATCTTGTTAGGCTAGGCAGCATAGTTATCCAGAAATTATCGAGGTCGTCAAATCAAGCTTTGGCGCAAATTTACGAGATCACTCACTGTCGATTTGAGCCTCGTGATCTCCCTTTGTGCATTTCTAGAGTTACTGTTCTTTTTTGATCTTGGTATATCTATGTATTCATCTCAATACAAACTTCGTATGGTATAGGTGTCACACGATGTGCCACACCAAAAGCAATATGAGAAAAAGAAACGAAAATATTCAAAGAGAGCATCATGAGAACGAGCAAGCTTACTTATCAAGAGCACTTGAAGCAGAAAATGGCAGCATATTCGTCATTGTTGATTCTCAGCCATATCTTATGACTCTCAGCTCCCATCCAGGGAGTCTTAATGCACAAACAAATGCTAACCTAACACAACACCATGGATTGGCTACCTCTCCACGTTTTCCCTCCAGCCCTAGGGCTGCCAAATAATGAGCGGCATGAGAGCCGCTGGAATGACACTCGTAGCATATGCCCCAGCCAACAAATCTGATATCTAAGGATAGCATCACTTGTTGAAAGATGATCTCCATCATGTTCAAGCAAACACGGTCGAATCACAGTTACATGATGATTCCGCTTGGCATAAGTAGTTTAATGGAGGCAGCGATAATCGTATACGTAGAGTGGCTGCACATCAGTAGCTTGGAAAGACTAGGTTTCACAGCTATAGAGCAAGACTGCAGGCCCAGTAGCATTGTAAACCCAACTTCTGACGACCAGTCAGACGTCGCGACGGCACCAGAAGTAACCCAGGTTGTCGTACGTCGCTCGAGTCTTTACTATATGATTAGAGATTTCAACCTTCACACCTTCACTGGCACTCAAAAAACTACCAAGTCTGACTACAGGTAAAGGCTCCTGCCAATCCTGCAACAATAATTTTACTTAGATTGAGTGAAGCATATACTACACTTACATACACTAGTCATACGCTGATTAAGTGCAACTCAGCTAACATGTATGTTACCGTCTGCATACTCAAGGTCAAAGTGTGATATTGGAGGTTGTAGAACTACATCATCACACTTCCTTTAGAGTTGTTCCCAGAATGTCGTAGACGGTAAAGTCAAAGAGGAGTGACGTGATCAGATAGCCCTGTCTCATCTCACTGTTGGTTGAGAACAGTAGTGAAGGCTAGTTGTTATGCCCTCATTCTACTTGAGATGTTTCAGGATTTTAGCGATCATCTCAAGAGCACCTCTCTCTAACAGACTATTCTGAAGAACACTTCTGTACAACGAATAGAAAACAATCCTAGTTTCAAGAAATACAACAATCATTGGCTTTCAGTATATGTGGCGTAGTTCTAAAAACTGACGGTATACGAACACGTGATCAACGAATTCACAACCTGAGTAGAACCCAACCTACTCGTTGTAAATCCATGGCTCACGCTCCCAGGATAATAAAATACTCCACTATTCTTGGTACAATAGAAATTTCATTTCGAAAACAGTGTGCTTGAGCTCCAATTGATTTATTTGAGGTTTATAAAGAACAGTATATATATATATATATATATATATACATATTATCACTGTCGTACATTTTACCCGTTTAGGAGCAAATGGCTCATTGTAAAGGTTAGGGCAAAGGCAGTAGGCCAGTCCTTAGTGTTGTATGTTCAGACTGCCACATCCACTGTTATGTATCCATGTGATGGTAAAATAAAACTATATTGTTGCTAATATGCGAAGTAATTGACTGTTGTTTGAAGCTGTATGAAGACGCATTCATTTTATCAGTCATTTTATCTGAAATATTATCTCTGGGAAAGGTAGAACACTATTCTAAATTCCACTTAATTCTGTTTGTATTTTTATAGTTTATTTCTGAGGTAAATATCATTTGTAGTGCGGTATTTTTTACTTTGTCGTCTTTTTTCTTTTTCCATCTATTCGTCTTCATGACAATGACAACAATAATAAAAGCGGAAACGAGAAATAGAAACAGATACAACCGGTTCTGTTGAAATATTAGGTGAATCTCATGTGGCTTTCCCTTCGAAAAATAATGTAAATACTCATTATTGGAGTCAAAATACCTCACGGAATAACGATACAAAGTGTTATGTAAGTTTACATAGTGTGTTTCTTCATTAAATTGCTAACTAAAATGTGCGAAAAGCACTCAAGTAGAATTATTTTCCTGTTGACATTATACTTGTTTTCATTTTCTCAATGGACTCACGAATTGTGGCTCAGTTGATTTAGGCAGGGGAATTTTAAATAGTGATTTGAACATTTGGCTAGTGCCATCGGTTCTTATGTACAGATTTGTGTGCTAGGCCATGATTTACACTTTGCATGACATCATTTTATCATCCAACATTTTGTAGATGGTATATGGTTTGAAATAATGATTGGAAGTGGAGTACCTAAATCAGTCAGCCTAAATAAATTAAAAACAAAACAAAAATATACAACTAAGTAGGGTTCATATTTGAATTTTATACCGCGTTGATATTGTACAAGTTAACTTTCTTCCGCTTTACTGAACAACCAGTCATCTGTTCTCTTATTTCATGTCTGAAATTTTTCTAGATTTTTGAGTGGTTGAATGCTTCACGTTAAAGTGTACTATGATACACCACTTGTCATTTTTGAACCAGTTAAACTAACAGTGGGCGAAATAAACGCATAGAAAGAATATTTAAGACTGGTTAATCACAAGCGAGGATTGGGATAGTAAGGCAAGCTTTCATCACTCTCAAGTCTGTGTAGAGATCAGCAGTACTCAGCATAAAAAATCAGATCCGGATTTTCAACTCCAATGTGAAGTCAATGCTACTATACGGATCAGAGACTCGGCGTGTCATAAACGGCACTTCGAACAAGCTACCGACCTTCATCAACAACTGTCTTCGCTCAGTACTCAAGATCAGATGGCTGGCCAGAAAGGATCAGCAACAGGGATCTGTGGGAGCGAACCAACCCAGCAGGAACCGATTGTGCAACAAATATGCGGGAAGAAATGGAGGTGGATTGGCCATACTCTTAGGAAACCATCAAGTGACATTACACGCCAGGCCATTGCTCGAGTGGAACCCGAATGGGAAGCGGTGAGTTGGTGGTCCGAGGGTGACATGGAGGAAGTCATGCGAAGAAGAGATGAAAGGATGTGGGCAGACGTGGAGCCAGGTGGAAACGTTGGCGGAGAACCCAACTCAATGGAGACGTGCGGCTGAAACCTCTATGTTCCTCTAGGAACTAAAGGAAACAATAATAATACTAATAATCACAATACTTGAATATACTAAGTTCACTCTTTTATTAAAAACTGAAAATATGGTGTTTGTAACTCGAAAGTAGTTTTTTGTTTTTCAACAAATATTGGGAATAATAGAGAGTGCAGTATTTTGACAAATAATAGGTTGCATGTGTCGCATAAAAGTCGCCTACATTGTCAAGTACTATTTAGGTTTGGAAATACAACTTCACCTTGCTTAAAAATTAGTTAGCTGAATCGATGTGCTGTAATGCTGTTACTACTGATTTTATCATTGTACTAAGTAACAATATTAGTGTGTTGTTATAACATAACATAATTTTATTTTTACCCATAGTTCTCAAATGGCAATTACGGTGAACCAGTACGTGTAGAAAATGTACAGAACCATAAGAGTAGTCACAAAAATAACAATGCTCCTAACAGTAGTGGGAAACGTTATGTATCTGGTCAACAAAATGGACGTGGTAAGGAGAAAATTTCAAATTGTACGGGTGAACGTACAGCCGGTGCGCATTCATCATCTTTCCCATCACTGCCTCCTAGTTTAAGAGAGTCGGTTAGTTTACCGTTTTTTTTTCATATTTCTTATTTAATTCGGTTTTTCTTGTTGGTGTTTTTGTAACTTATAAGCTAGTGTTTCTTAAATTGAACTCTAGCTTAAACTTCAAACTATTACTTCTTTGGTCGATTAATTTTTTGGTTGGTTTCATTACAAACCGTAATCATTTGGAGACTCATTGGAAAGTAGGGAGTATTTGGGTAATCGAGGTTTTTCTTCATCATACTTACCACCAACCCCTTACAAGACTGTTAAATTCTAACTCAATGGCTGGATGGCAATATGCTCTCACAAAATCTGAAAGTATTCTATGATTTTTTGGTGATAATTTTTGATTAGTTTCAATTTGGGATAAAATCAACTGTCCAGTACCCCCCTAGTTTTAAGTAGTTACATAGATGACTATTAAATTCCAGCTAATAAATCTTGATTAGGCGTAAAGTGGTTAGTTGGATTTTTTTGTTTGTAATCAGTCGACTAGGTTCCTTTGCTTTTTTGACATTTATCAACAAGATGTCTTATATGTTGTGTAAAGATGTGCCATTAGCTTAAACACTCCACTTTCAGTCACTAGGTCCCAAGTCTGAACACCGCTTCACCTGTTCTAGCCTTGGCAACTTGTAGCATCATCAGTTCTCACACAGTCAGCATGGTTCATGACCTGGAACGTGAAAAACCTGTTATAACAGGAACTGATTTCAAACAAATAAAATTGTATGATGAAGAAAGTTAACTTCCAAGTGTTGGTTTGTAGGGATTTGATTGATTGGTTACAGGATTACATCATGAGCTGACATTGGTTAGAGAATCATTGAAAAACCTGGGAGTACTGGACAGCTGTTTCGTCCTAATCTGCAACTCTTCAGCAGTACGCACCCACCGGGGTTTGAACCCAGGGCCTTCTGGTTACAAGGCGAGCTCGTAGACTATTAAGCCACTGGGGCCCGATCCAATAGCCAGTCCATGAATTTCAACTTCTGCCGATTCACGACTCCTCAAAGAATTTAACTCAAAGGCATTGCTGCCAAACCATTTACATCACTTTATAATCTGGGTAGTTTCCAATTATGGATATAAATTTGTCACAAACGATTACCAATGCATTTCCCAGTTCTTAAAAACTGACGGAAATCTATTGACAAAATGTAACTTTTAAGGTGGGTTTCACAGTACTGTAGTTGTTAGGAATCAGTGTATAGAAAAACACCTGAAAGTAGATGTCATTCTTACTAACGTTCATCATGCTTGAACTTAATTTTCTTTAACCTTAATAAAAATCGAAGAGTACACCCTCTAACAACTTGGAATACTATTATGTAATGGTTGAAAAGAGGAAATCAGTTTGGCGTTAAGTGTCTGAGTAGATACAAACGCTTGACACTACATACATTTGACCACTATTTTAAACATTGTTTCACAGTAAAAGATAATCTTTTATGTACCCTAAATAAAATGGGAAACTCCCCTCTTTTTGCTTTCTGTGCCTATATTTTGATTGATTATTGCGCTTTTGTCTCACCCATCAAAGGCATATTGGGAAGCCTAGGGATGTTTTTTCTCTTCTGTTAACAGAGCTACAGTACTATCTTTACCACAATGTTGGAAAGTTCTTTGTTAAGTGTTCAGCATTCATTTTCTGAGTCTTTTTTCTCATGGGAGAGAGTTATGGGAGAATCAGATTATTTTAATTTAAAACTAGAATCAGGGGTGTTTCTAAACTGAATTTTAGTAGAACTCGAGCTTTCTACTCAACTTCAGTCACCATCGCGTTGAGAGAACTGTTATTCATTGGTCCAGGTAATCAACTTTTAACAAATCAGTTATGTGTTAGGAGATGCATCTACTCATTTCATCGTTCCGTTGTAACAACTCTAGTCTGCCAAGCTAACTTTATCGCAGACAGTTTCAGTGATAATTTTTTTGGCAGAATATAGTCACCATTGATAGGAATCTGTCTGATAATTATGGTAACCTGGAAAACAGCATGTATACATGAAACGTTAGTGTTATTTGAACAATAAAGTCTTGATTGTTGTAGAAATTCAGGTTTTCAATCAACACTGCTGTATTACAGTAGAGTTCTATCAGTTTATTGATAAAGTGATTTTATCTGAGCTAAAATCTCTGTAATTTCAAAACGCTTTGCATCGTCATATGTAAATTACTTAGTTTGAACGTTTATAGTCAAGCAGATGTTTAAATAATGTATGATCTGATATAATTTGGGTGGTTTATTTCACACAATATAACAATAATAACAGTAATAATAATACAACCCATTTCCCGGGAAAGAGTTTTCATGTACTGATCTGTGTTCTCTATGTAATCTATTAGGGCTTATGCTACTGTTCAGTTGCCTAGATCGAAATTGAATCACGAAACCCACTAGCTCTAAGTTGTTATTTTTTGGCCAGTGAGTTGTGTCAACAAAATAAACAAATGTGTTCGTTCTAGTCGTTTGGGGGGGGAGGGGACGAATGTGATGCAATCAAGTTTTACACAGAAAATACAATAATTGAAATCAACCAAATCCCTACAAACCAATACTTGAATATCAATGAGATGCTCACTGGCGACTGGCCCTATTCAGGTAGGTAGTTACCTGGGGTTCCAGTGGGAAGCCGTGACCAGTAGGGTGCAGCAGGTCGGGTGTGAGGACAAATACTCGCCGAAGACATTGGCTAGCGGTTGCGCTATATCGTGAATTGGCAGAAGTTAGAATTCATGGACTGGCCATTGGATCGGGTCCCAGTGGCTTAATGGTCTACGAGCTCGCTGGCCTTGTAAACAGAAGGTGGTGGGTTCGATCCCCGGTGGGTGCGTATTGATGAAGAGTCCCAAACTAGGACGAAACAGCTGTCCAGTACTCCCAGGTTTTCCAATGATTCTCTAACTAATGTGAGCTCATGATGAAATTCTGTAACCAATCAACCAAATCCCTACAAACCAATACTTGAAATTGACATACTCTACAGTACTACAGGAAAAGAAAGTATCCAGAAGTAAAATGACGCTTGAAAATAGACTAAATTTATATGAAAAGAAGGGAAGCAGGTTAAGTTTAGTAACTTTTCCGTGATGTTCGAGGTGTTCTGAACTGAACACATTTGTACCATCCTAATAGATTTTGAAGCCTGTTCGATAAAGTTTCTAATATTTTACTTTCGAAATTTCTAGAAATACTCTTTCGTACAAAAATTAGATGGAAAGTCAACAGTCTCACAGAATAGTTCCATATATATATATTAAAGTTCTATAGGATGACGTCGTTTGTCAATTATCATAGACAATTGCTTGGAATATCTCACTTACCTTAAGTTATAAAGCTTTCCAGATTCGTTGGTTGAATTACATTCTCTTTCAGTATCCTTTTACTAAGCTTCTGCAGTTAAATTTCATAGTCTTATAGTAGAAAAACTTCTGTTCAATGTTCGTGCCTTTCAATACATACATACGTGTGCACTGCTCAGCAGTTCGTTCTGTCCTCCTTTATGGCTGTGAGACATGGCATTGAGAGTGGAAGATACGAAAAGGTTAGTACTGTCTTTGATCATGGGTGTCTGTGTTCTATCTCCCGTGTTAAGTGGTATAATAAGGTGAGCAATAGCGAGATTAGGGGAAGGAAATCAATCGACGAGGTTGTCAAGTTACACCGATTGAGATGGTTACGACATGTGTTACGTATGCATCCCCTAGCCATCGCCTCCCTCGACAGGTAATGTTGGCTGACATATGATCAGGTTGGTAAAGAGGTAGTGGTGGTTAAACCAAAACAAAGAAACAGTCAATGAAATCCATAACAGTTAGTTCAAGCCACGTAGGGAAGTGTAGACTGCTGCCTGGTTGGAGTCCTCGGGATGCTAAGAACCAATGAAGGTTGGATACAATTCGTGATATGGCTGAAAATCGTTGTCAATGGTTGGTGCAAATGCATTCAGTATTTGTGATTTATGATATGCAATAAAGATCTATCTACTATTCTTTTCCCCTCACACTTCTGTTTATTATCTCTCGTTTGAATCTCTTTACTCTGTTCTCCTGCTTTGTGTATGTGGCAACTCGAACTGCTGCACGTCTGTGCAAAGTCCTACGTTGAAACCAGCCAGTCAAGTCAGTTTAATACATAATCGAATATGATATCGGTGTCAGAAGTGCTATAAAAGTTGGTTAAAGTTAAGAAAGTCGTTCATCCACTTGTACCAGTCACAAAAATAACCAAATCAACTTCTTAGACAGAGAATTACTATTTTGATTTCCCAATCTTCATATTATGCTTCATTCATTTTAGCTATTACCATTATATAGCACATTCTTTGTTGTAATCGCGCAATTCCATTCTTTTAAAAGCCTTTCTTACTGAAGTGGGTTATTTCCATTCAGCAGAGAATAGCCATGCAGTAATTGTTTATAATTAAAAAAAATTTTTCTGGTCGATATTTCCATGTGATGAAATTTTCTTATCAAGATTTTAAAAGTAAAAAAAACACGACAACAACAAAGAAGTAATAAAATTGTCTTTATGTTTAACTTTTATAAATAAATAGACTTGAACTCATCACAGAATATGTTAAATTTTAGGATTTCACTGGTCGTTTGTGTATTGATTCAGTGAAATGTGTTTGTTCATTTTTTGTTGTTGCTTTTTTATGTTTTATCACGACGTGTATTACCTATCCGAATCAGATCTTCATTCGTCGATGCACTTTTCAGTTGAAAAGTCAAAATATTACAGATTGATTCTCATTTATTCTGTTATATAAAAATAAATAAGGATATATTGTTTACTGCCAATTGTGTTGCTAAGTGATTAGGTGTTAGAATGAAGTAACCTCTGTTACTGATGCACTAGTTGACAGGGGCTCACATTTCTGGCTGGACACCACTTCCTTCAAGGTTGTAAAAATGCCTTACTGACGAGTGTGTCAGTAAGAACGACAACTCTATGACTCTAAGGCTTCTTATTGATTGCCTCCAACCATTTAAAAAACCTTTCGAAG